AACATCAAAATTAGCCAGGTCGGTTATTTTGGGCCTTTTGGTAAAATTGTTATCTATCATCACTTTTGATGCAATAATTCAAACTTCAGCTAATTGTCATGGACTGTTTCTTGCAGGTTGAGTTATTGGTTACATATGAAGGGCAGAGATTTGTTGTAAATGATCTCAAATTACTGATGGATCAGTTTCATCGAACCGAGTTTACTGGAACTTGGCGAAGACTCTTCTCACGAGTTAAGAAGCACATCATCTGGGGAGTCCTAAAGTCTGTAACTGGAATGCAGGTGAGAATGACTTACAGTTCCCTCTCCTTTCATATTGTTATTAATAGTTATATACAACCTTGCCGATTTCCTTTTTACTCATACCTGCTGTATCTACCGAACACTGCAAATTTATGTGTACATTATAAAACAAACACGCTGTTAAAACTTATAGTAACTTGACAGAATAGAAACTTGAGTGAAATAGTTATTTTTCTGATTTCCTTTAAAATAGGCTTTACCGATCAAGAAAAACACTTTAATAACATAGGTCTATTTGATGGAAACTTTAATTGTTCTTCTAAAATCCTTTGAATGTATTTCTTTTATATGGATCATGCAGGGTAGGAAATTTAAAGACAAAGGTCAGAGTCAGCCCACTGGTGGTGTTCCTGAAATTGATCTTAATTTTAGTGACAATGAAGGCCAGGCAGGAAAGTCTGATCAATATCCAGCATCTTGGCCTAAGCGTCCAAGTGATGGTGCAGGTGATGGATTTGTGACATCCATAAGAGGACTTTTCAATACTCAACGCCGTAAGGCCAAGGCATTTGTGCTCCGAACCATGAGGGGAGAAGCAGAGAATGATTTTCAAGCTGATTGGAGTGAAAGTGATATCGAGTTCTCTCCTTTTGCTCGGCAGCTCACAATTACAAAAGCTAAAAAGCTTATTAGGAGGCACACTAAGAAGTTCCGTTCCCGAGGACAGAAAGGTTGGTTTGTCACTTTAATGCTATGGCTTTTATTGTTTGTCTATGTTAATATTTGTTTCATAGGTGGCTTTTTGTTTTTTGGATTTTGTTTAGAAGAATACATTATTCGAAGGAGAGAAAGTATACCTATGGCAAAAGAATTATTATTAAAAGGATAAAAAATCCCCTATAAAGATCCAAAAAGAAACCAAACTAAAATGGCTCAAGGAAAGGATGCAACAAAGTTGTCTTCTCTCTCTTCATATATAACAACTTCTCTTGACATAAACAATCCTATTCCAAAACTGACATAATCGAAATAGACATTTGTAAGTACTGCCCTTCTCCGAGTAAATACACCAGAGAATGTCAAAAATATCTGCGGACATAAGTTCATACTCCACTCTTGCCAAGAAAACCTCTTTTATTGGTCTTTGGTTCTAAGAAGTCAAGCACCAAACAGTGCAAGGCCCATGCCCAAAACCCAACCCAATGGGAAAGCCTTTGCAAAATCTTCTGAACAGGTGATGAGAAATTGCTTCACAGTGAAAGGAAATACCATGTGTTCACCAAGAATCCCTAAAAATTATTCCATTTAAAATTAGTTACAGTACAAACATATGTGGGCTACTGTTACTGAACTTGGCCTGAATGTATGCCTTGAAAGAAAGAGAAGTTGAGGTCTAAAATTCCATTTGTAATAATTCTGTTATAGTGTACAGCTATTCAAACCGAAGGCTTGCTTTAGATGGAGGTTTGAACTTCAAAATGGGTTTGTTGAGAAGGAACTGCGATGATTAGTAAATTGGTGTTTCTGAATAGGTCTTATAAGGAAGTATACCAAAAAATATTCAAGGACTTAAGTGTCCTTTAGACAAAACTTAGGTGCAGGGCATGCATGGAAACTTTTTATTCTTCAATGAAAATTGAACTTTCATCTCAGTGGCCCACCACACCAACCCTTAATGCATGGATTATCAAGATGAAACTCTAATTTTGATTAATGAACAAAACCAAAAGCACCTATGGTATTGCACATAAGTTTTCCCCCTCTCCTTGCTCAATTGTTAAGAAAGACTAGTAGATTTTAAGTTTTTATGAACTATGTTTTTGTCTTTTAGGTTGTACGCGTTAAGGGATTGTTGTATTTGGATTATGCAATGCTCTTGTTGTTAGAGTAAATAATGTGATGGACCAGATTTAGCTTAAGTTGCTACTTCTCTCCTCACTTTCTTTCGCTTTGTGTGCATTCCCTTTCTCTAAACATGGTTCAGAAGCTATCTAAACCCTTGATACCTCTTCTGCTGAACACTAATGTGCGAAGTTGGGGCTCCTTTTTTTTTCTTCTTTTTTTTCTTCTCCCTCTCCTCTCTCTCTCTCTCGACCAACTCTTTAAGGTTGATTGCTTGAATAAGTAAAAGCATAATGGGTTTCATTAATTTCTCTATTACTTGGTTGGATTACTCGTGATTGCTAACTCATGGTAGTCGCTATATAGTGATTATTTTTAATATGAATAACCTTGTTAAAAGAGTTAGAATGTAGCTGTGTATCCATTTTAAGTATCTAGTGCATATACCAATAAATGATTGTATTAGTTGAAAAAAAAAATGATTTCTTGGTTTTCTAAAATGAAAATATTTTTGATTAAACTAAAATACTCAAAATGACATTTGCATATAATATGACATGGAGGGAACACTTTAGTTGTTTGAATACCCTAACATTCAGATTATACTGGCCTTTTGAATCTAACATTTACAACAAACACATTTTTCTAAACTCCTCGTATGCGCGATACTATTCAAAGCTAGTTTGTTTTTGGTAAGTTTCGTCATTTCCTTTGTTCTTCAAGGCCGTGTTGTGTTTTAATGTTTGGCTTCCTGATATTTTTTATTCTTCTTTGCTAATCTAATCCCTTCTTGTTCATTTGATTACTTGATGAATCCAGGTTCATCTTCTCAACAAAGAGACTCTCTACCATCATCACCACGAGAGACAACTCCATTTGACAGTGATTCTTCAAGTGGATCCTCACCATATGAAGATTTTCATGAATAGAAATGTTTATTGTTATCTAAAGGATTTCTTACTTTTCAGCTGAGCATGACGCACGTTTCATCTAGTCCTTAAATACTCTAAAGGATACACAAAGGTGATAGAATATATTTCTCTATTGAGAAGAACCTCGGTTGAAATCTAGACATCTTGAGCAGAGGGCGCTTGGAATGGAAAGAGAACTTCGAATCGATATTTGGGCAATGCGTGGTTGATGTTGGTTGCTGTTCATAGTATATTTTGTGTGGCAACTTAAGTCATCGGTGAAAAGGGCCTTGCTTTCATCTCGCATCTAACATTTCTATCCAACATCAACCGCACATCTAACATTTTTCTATTCCTTCACAACTACAGTCACCGGTGAAGACAACCTTTGCGTTCATCTCTTACGTCATTTTCGGCTTGTATATTCCTGTAGCTTCTGGTCAATGTGCAATTTTTGGCTTAATTTATTAGAAGTAAAAAAAAAAAAAAAATAGGAGCCTAGAGGGTGATATGATTATGTACATACATTTGATTATATTTTGAAAAAATAGAATAAAAGCAATATCTTCTTCCCTACGGAGATCCTTGTTTAGGATTAAAAAATATTTTTTTATGGACAAAAATCTTCGCACAAAAGAAAGATTATTCTAAACCAAGGGATTTGGCCTACTGGAATTGTGTTAGATCCGTAAGATATAGGAGTGTGTATAAGCATATTCTGCAACGAAAAAAGTACCGAGAAAGGATGATGATTATTTTAGTACGTAAAAATAATAATAAAATACGAATAAAATTGTATAAAAAATAAAAAATATAATGTTTTTTATCAAAGATCTAAGTCATAATAACTTATGTCTCATGTATTTGAACATTAACAATTGTAATGCCCTACACATCCAAAGTTGTCCCGCCTAACCATATCTAACCGATATATGGGTCAAATAACAAGAAAAATCATGCCAAAACAATACAAAGCATTTATATTTATTTCTCAAAGAGAGATTATGAAAAATAAATCTATTGAGCTTCCACTTCATTTATTTTTTGGTGAAAAAATTCACCTCTTTCAATGGAAGATTAGTTCTTCAAAATGTGGACGAATACACTTAAAATGACTAAAACGAATTAAAAAAAATACATGCATGACCAATGTACGATAAAAAATTATTTAATTATAAAAAAGTAAAATATATGGAAAAGTAAATGCAGTTATATTTTATCTTTTATTTCAATTCCAAGTACTTAAATAATCATATTACTACGAAAGTTTTAGCCAAAAATTGATATTTTATCATAACCAGTTTAGATATCCTCCTAAACATGACTTTTAAAACAATTATTAAGAAAGTCAGTATTCTTATAATACATAGATATTCATAATTAAATAACAGTGTAAAACCAAATAAATTGTAATTAAATCCTCATTATAAATATCACATCTTTGTTTTTTCTCTCTTCCCTCTCCTTTTCTTGTTCCTCTTTTCCTTTCTCTGTAGACTAGTTAACAAAAAATACATTTCTACATTTGTCACTTAAGTTCATCCTGAAAGAGCCTAATTAATATCCTGAGACATTAACGCAATCTGAAAGTATTAATATTTTGTGGCAAACAAATCCTTAAAAACAATGCCATCGCATGCCTCGACCTTAAATTTTATTTGTATTTTCTCGTAATTTATACAGCATCTATATGGTGCCATTATTTCAGATATTTAGATTTTAGTTGCAGAGACTGGTATGAGACTCTTCATTTGTTCTCCGGCAAGGCAACTACTGCACATGTTTCACGTCCAAAAGCCCATAATGATATTGATAACTTTCGATGTACTTAACTGTTAATCGAGTAGGTGTTCTCTTTGCTAAGAGTTAGGAGTTTGCTCATGAGTCATGAAAGTGGTGTATGATTTTTTGTAGGTTCTTTCAAGTTTAAACTTATCAAAATAGTCCTTCTTAATTTAGTTTAGAAAGCTCCACAACCAATCTTAATTATTAATACATTCTCAATCCACAAAAGCTTATTGAACAAAAAAAAAATTGTGCCAGGCCAATAATATCTCATTGTCCTGTTTAACTCGTATAATAAGAGTTTAACAGGGGGGGGAAACTTGTGTAATAAGAGGTTAAATTCATCTTTGTAATGCAAATCTAACTTAAGGTAGCATGCCTGAGCCGATATATATCATATATCAACAGATTCAATTCTATTTTAGTTTAGTCTTGGGCAATATTTCATGATATTAAATCTGTGGTCTTGCCTGAACTACAAATATTGTCCATCTTTGACCACTCCTTCAATGTCTTGAAGGCAACCATAAAGGTCCTCTAAGATTTTTCCTGCCTCTGCAATTCTAGAGAAGAGTGAGGTTCGGAATGATTTATCAGCAATAATTGGATCCTTGGAGTAGTCTAACACAACTTTCTCCACCTTGTCCATAATTACACTGCAGAAAATTTACAGCGAAATCATAACTTCTTGAATGATATGCTATGAATGGTTCTGCCTCGTGTTAATTTAAGAGGCATGATTTTTAAAACTAGTAAATTCAAAGTGATTTGACATCATCCGATTTAATGATGCAAAATTTAACAAATAGCTATTAAGATCAATCAACATTACCTTCGGGGATTTTAGGTTTTTTTTTTTTTTTTTTTTCACAATGATGTTCATTCCTGGATATGCCCCAACCAGAGTCTCTCCCAACCCTTTATCTGTTTATACAAGAATGTTAGACAGTGGGAAGTATTATCCTTTAATTTTTTAACAAAGAGCAAATTATTTACCTCAGCATATATCTCTGTAGCATCCCCTGTCAAGGGATTTTTTTATGACTCACAAATGCATAATCACCGCAAATTACTTCTTGAATTAATACAGCCATGCATATGTTCTCATGATTCAACTTGGACTTTTGGCAGCTGAGAAAAGTCGTTCATTCCATTTTGAATCCCAGACCTACAAAACTGAAAACTACTATACCTTGAATGGTTTTATCTATTATGCACACAATTATTTTTAATATCACTTTAGTAAATTGATAATGGGATTTCAAATGGAGATAGTCCTGCAACTTAACCAGAAATCAAAGTGAAAATTAGTAATTTATAAAGCATTTATGAGTGAATTAGATAGAGATTCACGCACATAGAACACATACACAAAGACAGAGATAGAGATACAAATAGAGAGATAAAGACACACATCCAAGCACAGAGATAGTGATAAAGCACATATACGCAAATAAAGATAAACAGAGACAGAGACATATCATACAGACAAAGACATGGCATACAGAGAGAGAGATAGGCACAAACACATATCACAAGCAAATAGACACAGAGACAGACATAAAAACCGAGCACATGGATAAATATAGAGACGAAGACAGAGCACACACATAAACACAAATACAAGGCATAGATATGCATACAAATAGATACAAAAACACACACATAGACATATGAAGACAAAGACACACACAGAGCACACATAGAGATAGACCATAGACTTGCACATCCAGAGATAGAGCACAAACTCACATAATTTAAAAATAATCAGAAAGAAAATCATGTGAAAGAATACAAGAGATATCGAGTTTTAGAGTCACAAACAACACATACATATACTTTAAATGTATCTTGAAAATGGTGCATACAAACACGGCTAACTGAAAAGAAAGGAGCATTTATGTTTCACTTATAAAAAATCCATAGTGAAACTGAACAGAATAATCCAAAATTCAAAAGAAATGGTCTATCTAGCGAGAAAAGGCATTGCTATAATTATTACACAATGGATATGAAACAAGAACTTCTATGGACATAATTATATCAAGAAGTAATTAATTGGTAAAACATAAAAAGATTGAAACGATAATAATTTACCGAGGTTTTACATTAAAATTCTTATTCCATGCGAGATGCCTACATGCCAATGCCATGACCTGATCCAAACTAGTATTCCAAGCAGCCTTAGTTCCCTTTCTATTTTGCAACGGTGTGTCAGCACTATGGCAATATTGAACCTTTAGAAAAATTAAACATATCAGAATCATTTCAGGATTCAACTGCAATATTTATTTTTATACAAAAAGAAATCAAAGTGAAGAGGAGGAATGTAAACATCAATGATGATAGTAACATATAACTTGTAGGAAGATTAATGTATCTAGCACCAGACCAAATTTACCTTATGCTCTTAGTTTGGTTAGCCAGTTCATGCACAGTCTAGATGAAAAATACATGGATGTTGTCATACCAATCTTAAGATACAGAAAGGATGCTCCTAAACAAGGAATTTTGTTCATGGAGCTCCAACTAACAAGATGTGATAGTTTATACTAATGTAGATTGGGTAGGTGCTCTTGATGGTAAAAGATCAACCTCCAGTTATTTCAAATTTGTAGGAGGTAACCTTGTCACAGGGAGAAGCGAGGTTGTAGCTAGATCCAGTGCAAAAACTGGACTTAAAAGGAATGATTCTCGGATTCTATGAAGATTTGTATATAGAGATTAAGATATTTGTACAAAATATTATATAATTAGGTTTTTCTTTAGAGGATGGATCCTTTTACTAAACTTATTACATTCAATAATTCATGTTCTACATCAAATTTCAACGATCTAACCGTTCAATTTAAAGTTCTTAATACATACATCAAATTTGCAATTTTTAGAAAATTTGAAAATCATTTGATACTTTGTTTCATTAATTCGAATCAATGTATAAAATAATTTTATGATTATCCATCAATTTAAATTAGTGAAACGAAGTATCAAATAATTTTTAAATTTTTTTAAAAATTTGCATATTTGATCTATACATTAGGAACTTTAAATTGAACGGTTGGATCGTTAAAATTTGATGTAGAACATGAGTTATTAAACGAAGTAAGTCTAAGTAAACTTAGACATGAAGTAAAAATATCTCTCTTCTTTTCTTAATTTTGTTCGTGATTGATAAACTTGAATAAAAATTGTTAAATTTATTTGTTTCTCAATTCTCCCCACACCACATTACATCTTCTTCGGACTTCTCTCACAGCTACCTTCCTCAACTCCCACGGTCACCGCCCAGTGCTGCAGCCAACCGGGAAATGATGACCGCCACAACCCCTCCCAACCTTACTAAGACCACCACAACATCTTTCCAGTTTCCACACAAATCACTCCACACCTTTCTCTCACTCTTTTTCATGATACCCTTTTATGGGTATGTTTTTTTCAATTTGTAGGGATTAAATAATTTAAAGTTAAATATATTTTTAATTTTTCAAGTTTATTTTAAATTTGTTTTTACCTCCTTAATTGCATTTATCCACACACATGACCTTTAGGCTTTCTTTGAATTTGAAAATGGAAAAGGGGGAGTGGAAAAGGAAAGATTTGAAGAGAAAGTGAGTGGAAAGTGAGGTTGTTTGGATTAAAGGAAAGTGAGTGGAAAGTGTAGAGAAAGTTTGTGAAAGTTTGTGAGTGAATTGATTGATGTGATAGATAAAAATAAATTTTTTAATTGATAATTGTGTAAGATTACTATTTTACCCTTAAGTTAAAAAAGTTTATAATTATTATAATTAAAAAATAAATATATAAATTTTAATTTAAAAAATTATAAAATATTAAAAATAATTTAATTTAAATATTTACTTTAAATTTAATGATAGATAAAAATTAAAAATTTAATAAATAAATATGATTTATACTTTTACCCTTAGATTAAAATGAGTATAATATTATTTATTATAAATAATAATAATTACAATAAAATTATATTAATAAGTATAATTTTTAAAAAAATAATAAATAATGATAAGAATAAAAATAAATATTAAAAAAATAATAAGAATCATAATAAATAATAATGATGCTAATTATAATAAATAATATTAATATTAATAAAAATAAAAAATATTATTATTTTAATTTTATAAACAGGTATTATTTTTTTTATATTTTCACTTTTTGATATATATTATATATTAAATATTAATATTTTATATATATATATATACGATTATGTTATATGTTATACATATAACATAATCGATTATGCTGTGTATATATACACAGCATAATCGATTATGCTGTATATATATACAGCATAATCGATTATGTGGTCAAGCATAATCGATTATGCAAGACTACATAATCGATTATAGCCTTGCATAATCGATTATAGCCTTGCATAATCGATTATGTAGCCTTGCATAATCGATTATGCTTCCTTTGTATATGTTTCCTCTATTGCATGGCACACTACGCATGCATGCGAAGGGGCATTTTCGAGTTTTTATAAATTCTACGTGGCTTTCTTCTGTTTTCTTCGTTTTTGTGCGAGGACGAGAATCACGCTTCTCCTCCCTTTTCTTCGCCTTTTCGTTGTCGCAAATCACCGGAAACGAACAACAAGTTTCTTCGCCTTTCTTTGCTAGTGAACAGTAAATCCATAGAAACAAACACTACCTTAACGCTACCTCCTTGCAGGGGGACATGAAAGGCATCTTCGCTGAACCTGCAGATAATCTCTCTTCTCCGTCTTCTCTTGGGGGAAATTCCGCATCCGCATATAATTTATTAATTCACCACCTATGCACACCGGGTGATTTTGCTAAGAAAAAAATAAAAATTGCACATTGAAGACAAAAACCCAGTGAAGGATCCAAGTTCTTGTACAATTCTTGAGTTGAAATTCAATTCATGGACAAAAACGATTTTAGAATCTTTTTACTTATTCCCGTTGAAGACAAAACCCCAGTGAAAGATCAAGTTCTTGTACAATTCTTGAGTTGAATTCAATTCGCACGTTGTGCTTCTCCAACGACCTAGAGACATTAATCTAAGAAGAACCAACAAATAAAGCATTAATATACGACTTTTTATTTCTAAAATTTGCTAAAATTATAATTTACAACTCAACGGAAACCGAAAGCCGTATACTGCAAGTTGCATTACTTCAAGTAGGTCAAAATGAAGAACTGCAGGAGGAGCCATGGCATTGTTGCTTGACCCAGACGACGCCGTAGACGAAAAATGGAGAAAGAAAAAGATTCTTTAACCGCGCAAAGAAAAAAATGCTCTTGCCATTGTGATTGCGGAATGAAGTCGTAACAAGTTGTTGCGATTTCTTTTATAAAATTTGTTTGATCAAAAAATGGTACAGAGGGATTGGAATTTGGATAGACAATTTTGCAGCTTGAGCGCCGCTGCTAAAATTAAAGTTATGAGAAAAAAAAACACCAATGTTGAGGGCAGAATTTCGAAATATGCTCTTAAGTTGTATCCGTCAGAGATTTTAAAGAGAAGAGAGGAGTAGTGAGAAAATGAGAAAGCTAGAATGGAGAGACTTTAATACAAATGAAAACGATAGAGATAAGTCTTTTCTTACATTTTTATAATTTTTAATTTTAAATTAATTAGTTTTTTTTTATTTTACATTTTTATAATTTTTAATTTTTAATACATAATAAGCTTAATTGCACTTTTTCTCTTCAATAATGTTAAATTTACAAATTTTATATCTTTATTTTTAATTCTATATTTTTAGTTTATTAGTTTTATAAATTTATAAACTTGATCATTCATTAAATGTTATCTAAAGTTATAATATTAATTTATTATTGGGTAAATAACACAATGATTAGTATTTATGCTAATTTATACTTTAATTTATATTTATATTACATTTTTTTTTATCTCAAGACTTTATTAAGATAGGTAAACTAATGGAACCCTCCCAAGAACCATATGAGAATTTCATCTCGTATGGTTCAAACAAAAATACCTCAATATTGATTGTAACGAAAACAAATATGTATAATAGAAAGTAGGCCTGAGCACGGGGCGGGTTTGGATGGGTTCAGGTTGAAAATATTTAGCCCAATTCAAATTGACAAAAAAAAATATCAACCCATTTTTGACCGTAACAATGTTTCGGGTTTATCGGGTTTGGGTTGGTCGGGTCTCTGATTAATAGGATCGGTTTAATTGGGTCTATGGCAGAATTAGATATAGAAACACACAAAATCGGGTCTTAGCAAGAACAAGATGCAAGAGAAGAAGAAGACGAACAAACCTGTTCTTCGCGGTGTTAGAAGGAGACAAGCAAATCATATTCGTAGTAGTAGACAGCGAGGAGCAAATGATTATCCGGTGGTAAACGGAGATGAATGACCGATGCTAGGGTTTCTAGTTTCTACTCTCGCGACGGGGTTTCTAGTTTTTACTCTCGCGGCAGCGCTAGTTCGACAGGAAGCTTTTGAAAACGCAATGCACCCAGGTAAATAAAAAGTGAGATGAATACAAAGGTTAAACGAGCATCCCACACCCAAAAGGTGCCCCACATAGGTCTTCCCCCAAACCCCCTGGTAACTAAGGTAAACAACGAAAAAAAGCACTCATTTCTATACCGGTTCCAGAAGAGCGAAGAAAAAGGGGATGTTTTGTTAATAGTTTTATAGCCTTTACAATTATAAGGAATAACTTGTTATGTGTCGGTCGGGTTTGGATACCAACGGGTTCAAATATTTTAACTCAAACCCGACCAACAAAACCTATTTTAAACCGAGCCAAACAATTCCGAAAATCCGAAAATCCGAAAATAACTGCTCGAACTAAAAAATTGCCCACGGAAAGTTTCGATTTCGATCGGTTCGAAACCTTCTGCTCACGCCTAATAGAAAGTCTGAAACTTCTTTATTTAATCTAATATTATGATTATAATTTAATTTTTTTTCTGATGATAAGACAAAACTAGAAATAAAAAAACCAACTTCTAGTAAGACATAATTGACTGCATTAATCTTTGTAGTTACACCATTCACGAAATTTAGCGAACCTAAAGAAGCATGAATCATATATTTAGCTAAACGACGTACTTGTCTTAACCATTTTTATGAGATAAAAGTGATAATTATTAGTGAAATTTTAATATAATATTATTAAATATTAATTATCATGTCATTTATTGAGAAATTGAAATTGTGAAATTAAAAATAGATAGATCAAAATTATAAATTTGATATTATAAGAGACCAAAAGTACAATTAACTATATCTTATTTATGTACTAAAAATTTAAAATTATAAAAATTAAAGATGAAAAAAAAGAAAGAATAGACGATGTAGTTATTAGAGTTTTTATTTTTGATTTTTTTAATTTTGTATGAATAGAAAATACAAAAGTTTAAATGTATTGAAATTGTCAAAAATATTGATAATTTTATTTCATGTATTATAAATTTATTTATTTAATTATAATATTAAAAATATAATGTGTATCAAATTTTTATTATATTATATAAATAAATAAGTTGATTTATCAACAAGTTTTTTTTATAAGTTTAAACGTGATCTTCTCAAATAAATAAAATTTTTAAAATTTTAAATTTAACTTTTTTATTAAATAGGTCAAATTTATGTATAAAGGAGTCTAACTTATTTCAAAATCCTTTAAATTCTCATAGGTAAAGTATAATTTCTCACATTATATATAT